CCTGCGAAACGGCTAATTGATTTTGTGATATTATTTACCCAAATAAATATCGAAATTTTAACTTTATTTCTTAAGCAATTTATTTAATATTTAACGTGTTGTTTACTTAGTTAATGTAATTTATTATTGAATCATACTGAATAAAATCATATTGAATAAAATTTTAATAAATGAGAAAAAACATTCATTAATTATTTAGTAACTATTTCATTCCTAGTTTTCATGGAACACTTATTAACTTTTGGGAAATCCTGGTTTACCTCAAGTTCTGTGAACTAACAACAACCACAAATGTTCTCGACCAGTCGAACATCTTAATAACTCGAATTAAATAGTTGACTTAATAAAATAGAATCTATTAATATCTTTTTAGTTTATATAAAAACCGGTTTTCGAATTTAAACTTTTATACAAAAGCGGTATTCGAATTTTCACAAAAAATATATAAAAATAAAAAATATAACTAAATAAACTTTCTTAAAACAAATCTTAAAACCTTCTTTAATGTTGCATAAAACTATAAAAAAATAAAAATTCCTATATAGAAAACTATAGTGATGAACGAATAACAGTCATTTATCTAAATGACATTCATCCTGGTGAATTAGGCGCTCTTTTTTGGAGACGTTTAATTGAAGAGATAATTTGTATTGTGTAGTATAAAATAAAAATTGAGATCTATATCGAAATCCCAACAGTATTAAAATCGCGAAAATCGTAATAATAAAAAATATTTCATTTGAAGGGGATTTTGATACTGTCAGGATGTCGATTGCCATTGATTTCATTGGTTGTTAGCTGCTTACTCTGATTCCCGTTTTATGTCATAGACGGTTTTATGTATGTTTCTTATTGATCAAAAAAGTAATTCATTTTTAAATTTTAAGTCTAGGTCCAAAAATCGGTTTCAAACAAAAACGGTTTTGAATTATATATATTTCTTAAAACAAACCGTTTTTCAGCAAACTAGTTATAAAAACTGTCAAACCCTACTTTTCAGATACTTCAGTTTAGTTGACTTCCCGGAAATATCGGAAAATAAAAATAACAGTTAAAAAACTTTTAAGGTGAAAATTGAAAAAAACTAAGTACGTAAATTAAATAGGTTATGGACTGTCGTTTTATTTCCGGAAAATAATAAAGAAAAAAAATTTAAGTTTAATTTTTTTCAGACATCGTGCTAAGGTAATAAAATATTATTCTCATACTTTCTACTTAGTAATGAGGTTTTTGGAGAAATTTTGCGAAATTTATGACCCTCTAGTTCGGACATTGAACATAAGGAGCGCTCTTCATCAATGCTCCCCACCAACAATAGCACCCCAAGAAAGTGGTTAGTCTTTGGTACAGGTAGTTAGTAGAAGCTTGTTCATCAATGCAACAACACAGCAGCAAAGTCACATTGACAAATCGAGAGCAAACTGTACGATTTGTATACAAGCAGAAGTTATTCTGACCGGGTGAAAGCTGCAAGAATTATTTTACCATTGGCACTTGAGTTGTGCAAACTAAACTTAATACTAGAGTAATATTTTATCGACCTCGAAAGGAACAGTCTTTGCTATTATTTTGAAAAACTTTGATAAAATATGGGTCGGAGAAAATCAAAAAGACAAGCACCGACAAGGAAGAAGGCCATCGTCAATTAATTTTCTATTTCTTTTTTTCAATTTTATTAATTATATGGTATATGTAAGAACTATAAAATATGCAACATGTTAGTTTCTCGATTAGTCCGGTTTCAAATAATCTGGGATACCGATTACCCAGATTATAAATAAATACAAACTTATATTCACCAAGAAATGAACACGTTAATTATTAAATTAAATACTTAAGAAATAAATGTTAAAATTCAAATATTTATTTGGTTAAATAATATCACAAAATCAATTAGCCGTTTCGCAGGCATCTATCCAATCATTATAAACGTCTATAGGATCGGAGAGCACGTTTATAGTCGTTTGGTAATCCTCCATGCAAACTCTGCACGATATTCTCGCCGTATTTCTTCCCTTGTCCCTACAAAAAAAACGTAATTATTATTGATATAATTCGCACATTTCAATCCAACAAACTAACATTTTCACTTCACAAGACTGCTCGTGATTGCAGAACGGACAGTTGAACTCCTGATCGAGCGGTT